ATTATTGCATACTGAACTTGAATGATTTTGTATTAAATTATTATATCATTTTATCTTCATATTTCCGAACTTAGTTTAGTTTTTTTAAGGAAAGTTACTAGTTTGTCTATTTGGTCGAAGTCATCACCAAGCGAGTCTTTGATGTTGGTTGGAATTTCCAACCGATGTCTTTCTCCTACATATTTTTTGCAATTTGTCAAAATGTGTTTAACTGTTATTCTTTCTGTGCAAACATCACAAATCGGAGTCTCTTTTTTTGCCATGAGATAAGAATGAGTAAGCCTACAATGACCAATTCTGAGCCTAGCAAGGACAACTTCTTGCCTGGAACCTCTATGAGATGAGGCCCAGGTTTTTATCTCTCTAAGTTTGACATTAGAAATCGTTTCCCACTGTTTGCCATAACTGCCAAGACTTGATGCTACGATCCCCCCTCTCTATAAAATTGGAATTTCACCTAAACCTCCCTGGCTACTTCCAAAGCCTAATCTATGCTTAGACCTTACTAAATTTTCTAAGAAGAATACTCCCCCCTACATGTACAGTCAAGAATTTTATAGAACAATAGATAACTTTTCGAATCCCGCACTATGTTTTACAGATGGCTCAAAAAATGATGTAGGGACAGGTGCTGCCTTTTTCACTTATAATAATAATGCACAATATATGTTTACCCTACCACCTATATGTAGCAGCTACACTGCTGAGATTATAGCAATAGCAAAGTGCTTAACTACATTAGCCCCATCCAGGGAAACGATTGTCATCTGTACTGACTCTTTATCAGCGCTATTGGCCCTTAAAAACAACTTTTCTGTACATGCATTGATACAAGACATCCTATTTACCATTGAATCTCTGCAAAATCCGGGAAATAGAGTAGTTTTCATGTGGATCCTGGACACTGCGGAATATTTGGCAATGAGAAGGACCATTTGACAAAGCAGGCCGTCCTTAATGGAGTTAAAATTACAAAAACACCAAAATCCGATGTGACAGCTTGGCATAAAAAAAGAAAGTCTTATCTTATCTTTATAATAAGTCTTTGTATGTAAGGTCTTGGATGAAATTAAAAAGTTAGTGTCACGAACGGGATTCGAACCCACGACCTTCGCCTCAATACGCCGCTGCTCCAATCACTTGAGCTATCTTGACTTCGTCCCACTCGGACACCAACTCCCCGTCTATATCCCGTCGTGACACTAACTTTTTCATTTAATGTAATAGCTTTATAATAAGGGTGATCTGAGTCCTACAGTAAAGTGGGTTTTCGACAATCTGTAATAAAAAATAATGCATCTTCTGTGGAAGAAATAATTAAGCGCAACGTTTAAGTCACGAAAATCCACAAGCTTTAGAACTACGTCCTTCTTGGTTTGCGCTGGTTGAATTTCGTCGTTCAACTCGTCTAACGTATGCACTAATTGCATTCGTCAGTTTCATCTGAGACATGCGTTAGAGGTAGCTGATGACGCCCAAAAAAGGAACGAGTGTAGACGAAGAGCTTAACACCTCTAAGCACCACTAGGTCTTCTCTTTGTTTCTCCTCTGCTCCTAAGCCCAAGACCGAGCCTTACAGAGGTAGGCGGCTATTTGTCGCCTAGCGGTTGGCTATCACCTCTCCACCGGATCTTTGCGGCGCTATTATGCGCCCCCGGGATGGGCCGCGCGGAGGCGTCCGGTCGGGATGTTGGAGGGGGCCAGTAGTGTTGCTTATGAGTACTTGCGTGTACATTTTGATGACTTGATGACTTATGCGGGCCATCCTTTTCTTCTCATTATTGTGCGCCACCTTTTTACAGTTAATCTGTAATTTTTGGGGGTGGAGATTGCCTCCCGCAGGGCGTCCAAACTTGCGTTTATGGCACCAATCTCTCGCATCCATTTGGTTCGTCCTCGTGCATGTATCCGGCATTCGAACACTAGGTGCACTACTGTTTCAATCTCGCCGCATTCGCATTCTGGGGATTCCTTTAGGTTGAATTGGTGTAGTTTGCTGGCAAAGTCGCCATGGCCCGTCAGCATCTGGGACACGAAGTGATCGGGCTCCACGTGTTTCATCTTCATTCTATGTGCCACGCTCGGGAACAACGCGTATGTGTGGCGTCCTTACCTGAACACCTCTAAGCAGTATTCAATCCCCATCCAGTTACTCAAGATGAAAAAATCTTCCATGAACTTGACGAACCACTGTCCCTCTCCATCCCCCAAAACCCTGAAAAAGCAGGCTATCTTAAACCTTTCCAAAAAGAAATACCCAGGTTAGAATCTAATAGTTCCCATCATCCATTCTACCTAGCTACCTCTAACTAATCAAGCCATCATAACCTACCTATTCAACAACTCATTTCCTTATCCTTTGGAAATTTTCTTCCATCAGGATGATCCCAAAACCTTAAAAACCTAATCACCTTCCTAGCCCCTACCGACCCATCAGCCTTTGCCCATCATCGGCTCCTATCGATCCGTTTGTTCCCATCACTAATCCGCTTTTGGAGCTGCCAGTCGACTGTCCAACATGCCCATCGAATATTAAACGTGATTTCCACCTCCATTGAGCTAATCGAATCCAATCCCATCAATATAAAATCCTCAGAGCAATAGTCAATTCGATTGATCCTATTGATAGGATGTTAAAGGATGTCCTCTTGTTCATAAGCCGAATCCCGGCTAACAAAATGGAACATTTCAAACATCCATCATCCAAACCCTTTTGTCACCCCATCCACACCGTCACATCGAACGAATGCAGTTGTAAAAAATTTTTAGGTCGATTCATACCAGTAGGTTGGATTTTACGAGATCACCTTGTCCCACGCCTGAATGACTCGACCCAACATCCAATAACGGAATTCCTTGAGATAATCTTCATCGGCTGAAGGAAGTCGAATCCTAATAATCTTAAATGTCCCTTTCCAAAATTATTAATTAGTTACTGAATTTTGAAGAAAATAATGCTAGAATGAAACTGATGACTTGGGTTTCGGTTTATTTTTGGTCGTTGTTTTATTTAATGTTCAAATCCCTCAAAATGAAAAAAAAATTAAATTACCGACTTACATTACAATGAGTAATTGCGTTGGCCTGGTTTAGAAAGCGAGACCGGATCGTATTTCTTCCATGTCTTCGTGAATAGCGATCATACTTTATGTTCTCGCATTCTCCTCTATTTTCCTTATTTAATTCCGAATTCTCGAAAATAGCTTTCTGCATTCTCTCGCCCTCTCTCTGCCTAACCATTACGCCTTTTAATCGTCCTCCTCTCCCCTATTTTAATTACATCTGTAATCTGTTTGTTGTGCGATTGTTATACCATTTCCCGTCCAAAGGGTTTTTAATAAGGCTTTTGATGTGAGTTAAAAAAATTTTACAAAAAGTATCGCCTCAAAGAGCCCTTTCGTCTTGTACAAACAGACAGCCGTTTCATTCGGCACAATAATTGAAAAAAAAACGAGAGTAATAACAGTTTAATAAAACTGTTATACCTCATGAAAAGAAAATGGTATCACTCTTTCTCTAGACTCCTCAGTAATTAACTTTAAATTTAACTTTAATTTCGTCCTGTTATTGTGCTAATATGTCAACCCGGCGATAAAAAAACAGTAGATGAAGTAATATTTTACACAGTCAATAGCTACAGAGATAGACATTGAATTCTCCATCTTTTGGCCTCGCCCATTTTGTTGTCATTGAACAATATGCTAAATTAAACCAACAGCCGAGTTCACATTGGTGTCATTGAATAATAAACTAACCAATTCAATCTCCTCAGTTTTTCGTCAACTGACAATTGGCCGACTATTCAAACGACTTCGACAACTTACAAACCAATGTGGACATGCCAACATTGACGTTCATGGGAGATTTGATAAACAAGATGACGATACAAACCCATTTCGGAGAGGCTAAACTCCGACTAACTAAAACCGACTTACCAGAACATTCAGCCTACTGTGACGTTATTAAACAACTGACTCTCTTGCTTAGACAAATCAGAATGACCTCATTGGACAACTGACAAATTATGTTAGCCACGCCCATTTTGACATCATTAGGCATTTCATTCAGCCTACTGTGACGTCACTAAACAACTGGCTATCTATCTTACGCAGATCAGAATGACCTTGTTGGACAACTGACAAATCATCTTTGCCACGCCCATTTTGACGTCACTAGGCATTTCATTCAGCCTTCTGTGACGTCATTAAATAACTGACCACCGTGCTTACGCAGACCAGAATGACCTCATTAGACAACTGAAAATCATCTTTGCCACGCCCATTTTGACGTCATTAGGCATTTCATTCAGCCTACTGTGACGTCATTAAACAACTGACCACCCAGCTTACGCAGCTCAGAATGACCTCGTTGGACAACTGTCAAATCATCTTTGCCACGCCCATTTTGACGTCATTAGGCATTTCATTCAGCCTTCTGTTAAGTCATTGAACAACTGACCACCTAGCTTACGCAGCCCAGAATGACCTCATTGGACAACTGTCAAATCATCTTTGCCACGCCCATTTTGACGTCATTAGACATTTTATTCAGCCTACTGTGACGTCATTAAACAACTGACCATCTACTTACGCAGACCAGAATGACCTCATTGGACAACTGGAAAATCATCATAGCCACGCCCATTTTGACGTCATTAGACAATTTAGTCAGCACTAAAGCATTTTAAATTTGCACTAAAGCACCATCTAACTTAGAGAGGCTATAATGACATCATTTGGCAATAGAAATAATTGAGATATGGTGAGTACATCAATTCACTTAATAACTTTTATCCACTTAACATCACATGCGACGTGCGACGCTTTTATTGTTTCATCTCGATCCGCTTTCAAACCATTAAAGATTAGGAATAATTTTGGATTTGAATTGAGTTTTTCTCCTAATAAAAAAAAAAGTTCTACAGGATTGTGCGATTTTTTTTCCTCTCAATTATTCTAGAAAAAAAAATTGAAATATTTTGTTTTCTTTTTTTGTTGCAGGCTGCCTGGAAAACGAGTTTAGGTGCAGCAACAGTTGTGTCGACATCGTGAAGCGCTGCGACAAGCACCCGGATTGCGCCGAAGGCGAGGATGAAAAGGACTGTCGTAAGTTTTATTCTTTTTTTATTTCTTTAATTTTTCGCAAGGAAAATCTATAATGGGATTGGCCATCAGGTCCATTTCGAAATGTCAAGTTAATAGACGTAATAGTAATAGAATGGGAGTTCAACACACCGTATTAATTACAAGTTCAATTCGGCAAGTTTTGACTTTAATCTCCATTCTTGAACGGATAGTTGTCTATCGGCGAAGTTTGATGCCCTCCAATTTCCACAAGTTTCCTGTGTTCACAATCCTAAATTCTTAGAGTACATATAAGGTTAAGTTCGGTAAAGTTCCTACATGGAATTACGCTTAAGAAAAAAACAAATGATCAAACAGTTTTTTAAAACATTTAATCATTGTAAAAAAATACCTACAGCTTTGCGCGTGTTGATTAATGTAGGGAATAATTATCAGGCAAAACAAAACACGTAAGATTAAATTGAAAGTGGGCCTGAGTAATTAAGAATCTATTGCCAATGATGTACATATAGTAATGGCTAGGTCGTATAATAAATTGTCCAATGGCAAAGAATTGCAGGTGACAATGCTGTTTGACATGTCATTCAATGACAACGACGTGGGTAGAACTAGCTGTTTTATACATGAATCATCCGTAGACATCAAAGTGGGCATGGCTAAACTGTTTGATATATCGTTCTACTAGAACAAAGTTGGTAGAGCTAACCTATTTGACACCTGCATCATCCAGTGGCAACGAAGTGGTTAGAGCTATAAGGTATATGATACCTACATCATTTAATGAGAAGGAAATGGGTAGTACTAAGCTATTTGATACCTACATCATCCCACAAAGTGGGCGGGGCTAAACCGTTTGATACGTAATTCATTGACCTTGGACCTTGATGGGGGCACCTATAAACGTATATCTTTTAATTATTACAAAGTGAGTAGAGCTAAGCTATTTGATACCTACATCATCCAATGACAACGAAGTAGGTAGAGCTAAGCTATTCGATACCTGCATCATCCAATAACAACGAAGTGCATAGAGCTAAGCTACTCGGTACCTGCATCATTCAATGACAACGAAGTGGGAGTAGCAATAAGCTATTTGATATCTACATCATCCAATAACAACGAAGTAGGTAGAGCTAAGCTATTTGATACCTACATCATCCAATGACAAAGTAGGTAGAGCTAAGCTATTTGATACCTGCATCATCCAGTGACAACGAAGTGGGAGTAGCTAAGCTATTTGATACCTACATCATCCAATAACAACGAAGTGGATAGAGCTAAGCTACTCGGTACCTGCATCATCCAATGACAACGAAGTGGGAGTAGCTATAAGCTATTTGATATCTACATCATCTAATGACAACGAAGTAGGTAGAGCTAAGCTATTTGATACCTACATCATCCAATGACAAAGTAGGTAGAGCTAAGCTATTTGATACCTGCATCATCCAATGACAACGAAGTAGGTAGAGCTAAGCTATTCGGTACCTGCATCATCCAATGACAACGAAGTGGGTAGAGCTAAGCTATTCGATACCTGCATCATCCAATGACAACGAAGTGGAGTAGCTAAGCAGTTTGATATATGATACATTGACCGCGATGTGGGCTTGTTTAAACGTATATCGGTTAATTATAATAAAGTGGGTAGAGCTAAGCTATTTGATACCTACATCAAACAAAGTGGACGGGGCTAAACGGTTTGTAAAATAATTCATTAACCTCGATGTGGGCATTATTATCATCACATATCGTTTAATTCTAACAAAGTAGGTAGAGCTAAGATGTTTAATATATTATCCAGATGGACAGAAAGTGGACGTGGCGAAGCTGTTAGCTAATGATGTCAAAGTGTTTGTTAGAACTCAATCCAATGCCGTCATAGTAAATTTGGCTGTGCAGGTTTGTCTATATTGCAACGACCTCAAAATAAACCTGCCATATCATAAGTCAATTCTAATTTTGTCAATGTTAACCAATTAGTCATTTTTAAGATCTAACTAAGCCAGGCCTCTTTTACGTCACTGAAGAATTGTATTCACCAGCTTACCTTACCCTATTTGGCCTTCATTGAAGAATATGATTAAATTATGAGTTTTGAGTAATTAAATTAATCTTTGGACAAACCATCTTAGCCGCGCCCACTTTGACGTCATTGAAAATTGACAGCTGGACAACCTGCTTGGCCGCGACCAAATCGACCGCGTTAGACAATTCGACATACCAGCTGCGACATGAATGATATCCATGTCATTGGAGAACGAAACCAATAGGCAATATGAACACTATCAAGTCCTGCAGTACGCATTTTCCAGTGAATCCCATCCTGGGCTTAATTCTTTTTAAATTCTCATTTTTAAAAATGATAATGAGACTTGTTTGAAATCAATAGACTTCGTAATAATGAAGAAATGAGCAATTACAAAAATAACATTTGACTGGTTGACACAAAAGTGTGAAACTGGTTTCACATTTATAATTTTCTACAAGCACATTTTCTAACAGTCGGGCGCAAAAGTTTATCGCTTGGTAAGGGGTAGGGGTGAAAACGTAATTAATTTGTACGACAGTCTAGAAATGGTTTTCCAGTTGAAAACGACAGTTTTTAGGTGAAAACGTAAGAATATTTTATGCAGGAGGCCTGCGAGTGACACGGAGAAGGGTTTGTCGAACCAACGACCAAGGGGGAGGTCAGTCAGCGCTTTCAACTACCTCTCACAGGCAGAAAAAGTATAAAAACAAAACTGTACATCGCAAGATTTTCACAAACACGATTTTGATTAGTTTAAACGCTTTTGCATTATTTACAGACGAGGATTTTCCGATTTCGAAAATTCATAACTCTTTATTAAGTTTTTTATAAACATCATTCGATAAAAAACAGGTAAAGAGACATTTTCATTTAGCAACAAAGAAGAAAGAAGTGTTGTTGGAAAATTCTCTACTCTCTTAATGAAATGTTTAAAAAACAGCGATAAAACACAGACCCAACGGTGCCCCAAAATAAATTCTTAGTATTAACTAAGTCAATTTCGTAAGGAAAGAATTGATAGAATGTATCAAAAGAAGCAGGAAAAACTGCCAATCATATGAGGATTCTAACAGGACACTGCAAACTAAATGGACATTTAAAGAAATATTTTATAATCCAAGACGGCACATGCAGATTCTGCAATGAGGCAGAGGAGACACACCTACTAACAAACTGTGGTGCCACAATCGCCCGCAGGAGGAAGTGTTTTGGGATGTACAGTGTGTCTTTAGAAGAAATTCAGCCTACTAATCAAGTTCATTAGACAATCGCCCAGTCAAGTCAAAGTAGACTAGAATAAGCGAATTGGTCAAATCAAATGGCGTTAGAGTAGGCGTGGCTTAGATCACTAGACAATCGGCCAGTCATGTCAAAGTAGGCTAGAATAAGCGAATTGGCCAAATCAAATGACGTTAGAGTAGGCGTGGCTTAGATCATTAGACAATCGGCCAGTCAAGTCAAAGTAGACTGTAATAAGCGAATTGGTAAAATCAAATGACGTTAGAGTAGGCGTGGCTTAGATCATTAGCCAATCGCCCAGTCAAGTCAAAGTAGACTAGAATAAGCGAATTGGTCAAATCGAATGACGTTAGAGTAGGCGTGGCTTAGATCATTAGACAATCGCCCAGTCAAGTCAAAATAGACTGTAATAAGCGAATTGGTAAAATCAAATGACGTTAGAGTAGGCGTGACTTAGATCACTAGACAATCGGCCAGTCAAGTCAAAGTAGGCTAGAATAAGCGAATTGGCCAAATCAAATGACGTTAGAGTAGGCGTGGCTTAGATCATTAAACAATCGGCCAGTCAAGTCAAAGTAGACTAGAATAAGCGAATTGGTCAAATCGAATGACGTTAGAGTAGGCGTGCCTTAGATCATTAGACAATCGGCCAGTCAAGTCAAAGTAGGCTAGAATAAGCGAATTGGTAAAATCAAATGACGTTAGAGTAGGCGTGGCTTAGATCATTAGACAATTGCCCAGTAAAGTCAAAATGGGCGTGGCTAAGTGAGTTTAACGATTAACCTAGTGACATAAGAGTAGACAAAGTTAGGCTGATTGATTAAATAATCAAATGACATCAGAGGCCTTTTTTATGCTATTGTACAATGACTCCAAATTAAACATTGTTAAGCATTGCTGACTTTAATTGTCACGTATTTTCCAGTGTAAAAAAAGTGTAATCAGTTAGCTCAGCAAAGTCCAACTCTGAATTCGAGAAAAAAGCATGAGTAAGTGTATTTATTTGGGTAATGTATGTTACACGAAAACGGCATCTGTGAATATTTCGTTCTCAGGTAAAATCCTATAAATAGTGTATTAACCTCTAAACAGCATCATTTTTTAAGAAGGGCAATCGAGGTCCATTCCTTTTACGTGGTTTACGAACCGCGCACTTCGGAAATCATAAAGGGAAATCGCGTCGGAACAATCCACAACAGAACAGTAACAAAGGTAAATTATTTGGGTTGGTACGTCAAGTAAAGTCGAGACCGCGGCCTTATGAAGGAGGTAAATTACAAAGTACCACATTGATTCGGGTTTAAATTAACCTGGCGAAATAGTACTCTCTAAGACAGATTCGGCCAACTTGGGTCTTGACAACGGATAATTTATGTATTGGGTTGTCCGGAAAATAATGCAGGATTTTAAGTTTTCATTAAAAAAAATCTATATAAAATATTCTGTTTACGTTTACAGGATTACTCATTTGTATGNAAATTATTTTGATTAAAGAACATTGCTTTAAAGTAACTAGTTTCTTTTTTTTTGTTTAATACCAAAATCCTGCATTATTTTCCGGACAACCCAATAAATAAGAATCGATTAATTCTACCTTTTTAAAGAATATTGAGAGGAAACCACATATTTCAACCGATCATTTTGGTTATCATCACAATTCCTCACTGAAGATGGCGCAATGCCGAAACGCGTTTGAATAGTTCAACAAACCCGCGAGTAAAGAGGGTTACCTAATGCCGGTTTAGTTTAATTTTAAAAAAGGTCTAGAGTCTTAAAACAACGAATCTTCACTATATTTGGTATACATATTTATCCCTCTATCTTATAATTTTTTAAATACTTTTTGAACTTTCATTTATTATTCGTCCCTTCCAGCCTTGATGGGTTGTGTAGAAAAAGTTTTCATCTTCTTTTTTGTTTAAATGAAATTTACCAATTGACGTTCAAACAATAGGTACAAAATCTTAAAATGAAGTTAAAGTGAAAAGTCTATAACTAAGTTTACCAGGCAGCCCTGGCCATTGAACGATGCTTAACCAAGTTTTTAAGTTTTCCTACTTTTATTGTTCCCATCAAAATTTTAGCTCCGCCTGCTAATTGGTGAAGAGGGGAGGGGAATTTAATTGCAATTGTCATTAGGAGGATAAAGTGCCTCATGATAAGATGATGGGAATTGTTTGAAAATTGCAAAACGAAGGGGGTGGCCTGTCCTCGATAAATACTCTAACTTCGATACTATTCAGGCTGAAATTATTTGGATCCGAATTTTCTCGCTGTTTTTTGCTCTTGTAATTAACTAATTAAGGGCGAAGAGGATTGACGATACACTTCGCTCGACTTAAACAGTAATGAAGATGCTTCTTTAGCCGTTTTAAAGTTTTTAATTGTGTAAATGATTAGGAAACACTCTACAAGGGATTATAAAAGCTTAACAGCAGGAAACGACGTCATTGAACGGTTTTATCACTAAGCCACGCCTCTCTGGTTCATTGGACAATTTGACCTAGCACTTAGCCACGCCTACCCAACGTCATTGATTGATTTCTTGCCACGCCCATTTTTATTTCCTTGGATGACTGCCTATCCTTAGGTCTTAGCCATTCTTGACTTGATTTCATTGACCAATTATTGATAAGCCAACATTAGGTTAGCAATACCTACTCGACGTATGTGAACGATATGACCCAAATTCGGTTATCCACGCCCACTTTGACCACATTGGGGAATAGCCTAATCTGCTTGCTTTTGATGTCATTGAAACTCACATTAACCAAATTTGAACTCCTACTCTGACAACATTGGAAGATATGATCCATAGCCTCGTCCATTTTGACTTAATTTAGAAGTGGCCTAACTCTCTTGGCAACGCTTAATCTGACGTCTTTGAACAATTGGATAATTATTCTACCCATGGGCATTATTTGGATTCTTTGGGCAGTTGTATAATAACCTCTTTAGCCATTAATAAAGAGTTAAACTCGAAATCAAAAGAAAGTTAGTAAATTACAAAAAAAAGTGGGCTTTGTAGTTTTTGGATGTGGTAGGTATTTACAGGTGCTTTCTGTAACTGCACATTGTTAAGTACAAAGTATACCCCATAATAATTGTTGCTTCTGTGTTACATCTATTTATTTTTATCTTTTTTTTTCAGGGACGTTCATATGCCCAACGACCCATTTCAAATGTAATAACCACTTCTGTATACCGACTGAAGCGGTTTGCAACTACCAGGACGATTGTGGTGACGGTTCCGACGAAGCAGACTGCCGTAAGTACTTGAATATTTAAAAGTCCACTTCAAGTGAAGTCCAGGTTGAATTTGAGTATTGGTGTACCGACGGGCATAAGGTAATTAATCCAGATAATTTAGAACAAGGTATAATTACACAAAATTTGTTATTAGACAAAGACAATGTTAGATTATGTACTCTTAAGTATTTCTGCGTTTCTCAATCAATCACGCCTTAGGCCTCGGTGGCGCCCTGAAGGTTTGCCCTTGGGTCCGCTTGTACACTTCGTCGCTTTGCTGCTCGGCCCTGAAAGAAGAAAAGTCTGGTCAAAAATCGGGGTCGGTGGGCAAGCAGTGACAAGCTTGCCTTTTCGCCAGCCTGGCTTTTGCCATGTTGGCCATTTGGACTCTCTGCATGTTCTTGGGCGACAGGCTGACCGGATCTTCGCCCTGGAAGCCCTGGTACTGGTTACCCCGGTGGCGTTTCAGAATGGAGGCACCGCTCTGGAAAATCAAACTTGACAATTACCACCGAGGGACAATCAAAATCAAAGACAATCACCTCTGACGTTCTTGGCAAAGGGATCTTCTTCACCTCCTTCTTCGGCTTCATGAGCAGTTCCTTGAGGTTCACCACCTTGGGCTCTGCCGGCGGCTTCTCCCGGTTCTTGAAGAAGTCGAGGACTTGCTTTGCCTCTTCGGGCGACGCCGGTTCACATCCGGTTCGCATGTCCCTCGACTTAAAGCCTTCAGCTTCGCCTCCGCCCAGTGCCAACGGGCCTGACCTCTCAAGGTACGAGTGAAGGTTCAGCTCCGCGTCGAACTTATAGCCTCGGTTGTCGTCCAAGTCCCGTTTTATCTTCGGCCTCGGGATCTCCAGCGAACTCACCTGGGGCTGTGACAACAAAAGAAAATAAACATGATAAATACAACCAATATTATAAGGCAAATCTAATATAGCTACTTCATTGAATTATAAATAGCTTACAGTACTAAACTGACGACTGCACCACGAAGATTTTTTTAAAATTATTATTATAGTGTATACTTTATTTTAACAAAATTACATTCTAGTTTTGCTGTATTTGCAATAAGTAGGGTGCTTATGCTAAGACGTGTGACACGATATGTCCGGTGACAGACCCACCTTACGCTCTTGCAAAATTAATGCAGATTTTGAAAATTCGTTTTATTTTCGTAGATGCCTATCAGGTAAACCAAGCTAAATCCTCAAATCTGTTTTATGCATTACAATAAATACTTTTAACGTTTATCTTTTTATGCAAAACATTTAGGTTATATTGAATTTTGTAACAGCGAGGAACTGCGAAATGAATATGTCCAAATTAGATTTTCGTCAAATTTATTAGTACGAATTTAAATTTGGGCGAAGTGCGGCCCACACCGCGCGTAACATCAATACAGTTTTGGGGAGGGGAAGCATTAGCGAATGCACGATGCAGTTTATGGTTTCAGAGACTTCGATCTCGAAGACAGGGAAGGTCGCGGTAGGCCTTCCGTTGTGGACGAAGACCAACTCAAAACGTTGATTGAATAAAATTCGCGTAACAGAAGGAGAAATCGCGGAAGAACTTAGGGTTGACCATTCAACTGTTCACCATCTGGAGCAAATTAGTAAAGAAGGTCGAAAAGTCATCACATCACGAACTAAACGAAGCGCAAAGAAATCAACGTTTTGAAATTTGCTCGTCTCTTCTGTTGCGCTCCTTTTTTTTTCGTCGAGCCATCACGTGCGATCAGAAATGGATTCGGTACGATAACAAGAGGCGTACAGGTTAATGATTGGTCAAGGATGAAGCGCCACAACACTTCCCGAAACCAAATCTGCACCAAAAAAATGTTATGTTCTGTTGGGGTGTACTGCTAGTTTTCCTGCCTTAAGGTGAAACTATCACGATAACGCCAAGCCACCATGTCGCAATGCCAACACTGCCGAAACTTAAAGACTTAGAGGATATGGAACTTTACCGTACCCTCCATATTCACCGGGGCGTCGATTATTTGACTCCGATAATTGTTTTGAAGGTCATGTAAACACATCTACAAGTGACAGTGCAATTTCCTAGATAGTCAGTTCGGGACAGCTATAATGGTGTCGAAACTTCGCTAAGTGAAGCACAAAATTCTGAAAATGGGTACGAGGCGGAGGTGCCATAGAGATGGAAATTGTACAGCGTATGTGATCACCAGTGATAGTTGTTCTGAAATTATTAAGTTTGGAGGGGAACATAACCACGACCAACTAGGAGAAGGGGACGTCAAACGAGAAGAGGTACGTGCCGTAGTGAAATAAAAACTCGGTGGATGATGTAACTGTTCGCCCTAACAAGATTATCCGTCAAGCGATACAAGACTGTTACAATTTCACTATGAAAGATTTCAATAACCTCTGGCAGTGCCTTTATGGAAAACGTAAGTCACTTATCCTAGGAAACTGGAGAAGCTGTACGTATATTAGAAGAAGGGCATCACTAAACACTTCCTGAAACCAATCTGCACCTTGTAATGGTATCTGGTGGTGCACTGCTGGAGTTGTTCACTATGATTTCCTGAATTATGGTCAAACTACCACAACAGAGAAATTGCCAAGAAATTGGAAAAATGCAAGGGAAACTGCAACGTCTTCGTCCAGCATTGATAAACCGTAACGAGCCGATTCTTCTTCACGACAACGAGGAAACTTACGGACTTTGGATTTGAAACCCTACCGCAATCTCAATATTCATCAGACTTCTAGCCTATAGACTTCCACTTTTTTAGGCATTTTGATCTATTCTTTAGGGATAAATTTTCTAGAGAACGCGGTGAAGCCGAAAATGCCTTTCAAGACTTTATTATGAGTCGAAGTAAAGATTTTTATGTCAGGGGAATAAAAGCGCTTATGGTGGTAAAGATGAACAGATTGTTATAGAAAATGTTTTGGAATTAATTTTCTTTATTTTATAAAAATTAACAATAGTATTGGCTACCTTTTAAAACCTGCATTATTTTTGCACCAGCCCAATATTTAATCCTCGGACTGTGTGGCTTTACTCTTCAATGATCCAGCTTTCAAAAACAACAAGAAACAGGTGCTGTAGGAGTTTGTAGTGTTGCTTTTTGTAGGAGTTTGTTTTGTGATAAAGGCGATAATAAAATTTCTTATCTTGAACGGACGATTTTTCACCCATCAAAGCAGGCAACCCTCTACATCAACTACACTGCTGACATACTCACACATCCATACGCACAACTCAACCTACGCGGACGACACAGCAATCTTATCACCACCAGCGGCAATCTTAGCAACAGAAGCACTCCAACCTCATCTGAACCTCATTACCGACTGGTGCAGTCTGTAGCGGATCAGGTTAAACGAACAAAAAAGCCAAACGTGTCAACCAATGCACATTAACAACACACATCGAAGCATGCCCTTGATACCTTGAGCTTTACTTAGCAGTCTGAAACCCGTATACAAAATTAAAACGACAAGAATTTAGCAAAAGATGAACCACTCAAACACTGGGTCCAAAATAAAAATCATCCATAACAAACTACCCGCTTACAAAACACTCATTAGACCTATTTTGACTTATGCAGTCGAACTGTACCAAATCATCCAACATCAAACGAAATCAATCTTTTACATCAAACGTTCTCTGCCGTGTATCGCCAATGCTCTCTTTTATGCCACCAATCAAACGATTCATAAATATTTTAAAATCCCTTTCATGAAACATGTTACCCGAACGCGCTTCTTAATTGCCACTCTAAGCAATCCCTCTACTTTAACCAACTAGCCCTAACACTTCCTCGACGTCTCACCGTTACAATCCTCCACGACGTTTAAAACGACGATGGCCTCGTGACTTTCTATCTTAACCCACCCAATTAAAAAAAAGATAGTTCCAGGCACTGGTTGGTTTCTATCCTCACCGCCTCCTGGTCTGACAGATCTGTCAGATTTGTATATATCTAAACTATTTGCTCAATGTGTATTTTGTAAAGCTATCAATATTTTTTTTAAACTTGAGCGGATAATGATGCTAATTACGAGCGGAGAAACAAGGGTTTAGTCGAGCGTAGATACAGCGGTGATTCTTCCACGAACCGTCGTGGCAAAGTTCATTTCATCCTTAAGGCATCGTGATCATTGTGCCATTACTAACAGGTAACCAGGCTGAACGGGCCGAGGTTGGCGATTTATAATTCAGGTTGTAGGGTGTTTACGCCGTAAGGATTACTCGGATAAGATTTCGGAAAACCCCCCGCCACGTTTCCGGCCTCGTCGTCGGCCAGATCGAGTTTTGATTTTTCGTCGTGTCGTCGTCTTGAGTCATTGTAATTTTTATAAATCGTGGCCCAGTTTTAAATTTATTTTATTTCGTTTATTGTCGTCATTTGATGAATTTATCGTCGTCATCGCTCCGGTTGGTGAGGTTCATGAGATATCTGCGTGGTGAAGGTCCCCTGTCCCGACTTTTCCTGTCTTTTCCGACCATTTTCCTCCTTGCATCCCCCTTTACTTCAGTTGAGGTAGCTGGACGATCATCACCCGAGGTGAGTGCTTTATTTCCTTTTTATTTGATAATTCATTTTATTTTAGTTTAATTTTAAACCCATACAGTCCACTTGATCAGACATAGGGCGTGTCGTGTTCACTGTTCACTTTGCAATCCTCTGTGGACCTTTGTGACTCCGCAGTTTATTAAATTACACTTTACACAGGAAGAGATTGAATTCGACTGCTGGAACGCGCACGCATCCCGTCAGCTATGTTTAATTTCGTCGTTTGGAACCGGAGTCGACAGTGGATCCGTTGTCTTTTCTTCCTTTTCCAAGGGGTTTTATTAGCGGCCGTGTTAATTTTCACGGCCGTTGACTCGACCTGGAACGGCTCCAGCGTGAAATACGTTCGCCTTGTTATGTACAAAAGCCGCGGTCGTTTGTTTACACCCCTTTTGGGAAAGACAGCACCGCCACCGACCTGATATTTAACTTAATAAGCCGTGTGCGCTTTCCTACGGCAAATGCAATTTCCCTTCGGTTCGAGATGACACAATAACATTAGGCGACGTTTCATCGCCGGATATTCATCGATGGATAATTGACTTCCATCAATGGCAATCTTTAAACCACAAAGATTATAAAAATCTCACAGTCTAATCAATATGCAATCAATTGACTAAGATCATTTTAAATCCTTTAAACCAAAGACGTATAAATAAATGTTTGTAGTGTATTATTATTTTATTTATTTTTTTTACGAGGGTTCGCAAGAGCAGAGGTCATATAAACCCTCAGGGTGCCGGTGTTTTTGAAAAAAAGCCCATTTGTAAGTATGTCGGGTTCGAATGCAGGGCCGCTGGATTCGAGCCCGGGACCTTTACCTTACAGTGATGAGCGCCGTGTCAAAGACTAAACCTTGCGGCCACCGACGCCCCTTTGTAGTGTAGGAATGCCATAATTGATTTTTGTATCATTGACCGTAATTATTATACATTCGAGGGTTATACAATAAGACTCTCGTAGTTTTGTCTTTTCTGGTCCATTTTAGTCTATCTATCTTCTCTGTTTTATTCTGTCAAGGGTGAGTTGTTAGTCTATGTCACTTTGACATCGTTGAACATTAAATCAATTTGTTTAGTCATTCCTCCCTCTGTCTGGACATTTGACCATCTTTAGTCGCGCCCACTTTGACGCCATTAGATATATCTGTCCGTTTAGCCCCTCCTCCTTCGATTTAGCCAAACCTCTTACCAACATTGCTTTCCCTTATACTTGGTCCGTCCTTAAAAGGACAATGAGGATCTTTCACGTCCGCACCTGGCACATAGGCCTTATCGGACGTTTTGTTTCTCAAGATGAGATCTGACGCACCTCCGCATTCGACAGAAGTGGGTTACTGCCGCAGCATTGGTGTAGAGGCAGCTCAGCCCCGAAGGGCCAAGACAACCTCGCTCCCCGCTTGCCCATTCCGAGTGGTCGGGTCCGCATTAAGCATCGAACCGTAAGCCGCGCGCAAAGGGCTACCTAAGCCGAAATACATCAGCCTGGTCTCTCGCGAACTCCCTAGATAGAAAAGGCCACTCTACATCCCAGAGTATTGAGGCTCCCCCAGCGTAGAAACTTCCGGATCCGCTCCGGCCGCGGTTTCGTTTAAAGTGGAATTGCTAACCACCCCCTTGAGGAGACCGCCTAAGGTAAAAGCCTCCTGGCGAGCTCAGCCTACACCTACGTGCAAAGCTTACTCGAGTAGGAGCAACCGATTCACTACCCGTTTCCATCCGCCACTAATCTCACACATTCAAGGGACTTTTCAGCATAAACATAGCGTCCTCAACGCTTATTCGCTGCCGTCCAACCCGCCGTATCCCGTGAGAGCCGAGTGTATAACGGTGGTCATACGCAAGTTTCGTGCGCAGGTCACTGATAAAAGACAGCCTCTTCTTCAGGTCCCCGCCAATTTGTCACTAATCACCACACATTTCTACACGAGAAGAACGAAGAAAAGGGGATTCTATGAACAAATTTCAACTAGATATGGACACGAAGCTAAAAGTATTCTGAAGGACATCGCCAACAATGAGAAGAAACTCGCATTGGCTATCAATCAGAGAACTTTTTTGTTGAAATGCAGACAACACAAAGGCCCTGAAGATGATCTCAATAAAGATCGAAACGTTGGCACGACGAGCTATTTTGCAGCAAAGTATAATTTGGTTCTACCATTTTGAAAAGTACTTACATAATTTATTGGAGGAAAATTGCATTTTATCTGATATTTTGTTAAATTTGTAAATTTCAACCAAACCTATGGGAATTTTTACTCTTTCTGAGAAAATAATGAAGCTTTTTACTTTAGATGGATGTTAACTAATGTCTAGGTACGAATTAATTTTCAACGATGCACCTGTGAAAGTGCAACAGTGAGCTATTTTGCGGCAAAGTATAATTTGGATCTACCATTTTGAAAAGTACTTTAGACTTGAATCTCAGGTGTCGTGATCCGATAAACTCATTAGCGTCCACCAACGACAGCTATTTATGTTTTTTTCTTTTTTTTTCTTAAAGATTGATTCTTACTGGCGCGATCTTATCACGAGTAACTTATTTTAAAAATTTAAGAATTACAAGATGAATTCAAGATATCAAATAATTTACAATTAATTAAGGTTTTTAGTTGAGTTGAAAAAAAGTTAATGGCACGAGAGGGATTCGAACCCACGACCTTCGGCTAGATACGCCGCTGCTCTACCTTTTCATTGAAAAATGGCAAAAGGAGGGAAAACTCATAAGGTGGGGTTGAGATGGGGAGTTGATGTCCGAGTGGTTCGAGGTCACGATAGCTCAGGTGGTAGAGCAGCGGCGTATCTAGCCGAAGGTCGTGGGTTCGAATCCCTCTCGTGCCATTAACTTTTTTTCATCTCAACTAAAAACCTTAATTAATTGTAATGTATTAATTGGTCAAGCGGACCACGAAATTAGTGAATTTAATATCAAATAATTTATTACTTTCATATTCGTTCTCAACACATCCCGAACATAATTTTCCGGGTTTTAAGAAAAATTGCTTACTGTGTTCTATTAATTATTCTATAGTGATTTTCCTCCAAAAATTTACGTTATTCAGTGAGCATTTAAATATTATAGATTATTAATCCATTTATGTTTAGTGGTCTGACTGACCAAATTACTTATTTCAATTAATTATTCCTTTGTAAGGTCTTGGTAGAGAGGAAAAAGTTAGTGTCACGAGCCGGATTCGAACCCAGTAATTTGGTCAATCAGACTACTAAACCTAAATTGATTAATATTTAATAAAAAAAGAAGTGTAATTTGTACTAACAGCTCCCCGTGGCCACTTCAAAGTCGCTGCGAATCGACACGACCTTTGAAAAATGGCAAAAGGGGAAAAATTCGAAAGGTTGTAGGTTGAGATGGGGAGTTTGTGTCCGAATGGATCGAAGTCACGATAGTGGTTACAGCAGCGGCGATTTGGCCGAAGGTCGTGGGTTCGAATCCTGCGCGTTAATTGAAATTATAGATTATGTACGGTTGATTTGAGGAGTGGGATAGAAGAGATTTGAAAAAGTCTAAGTGGGACACGGCACAAAAAAGGTTGGAAAAAATACGTTTGACATTTAAGACCTCAATCTAAGTCACGCCCATTATGACGTTATTAAATACTAAACCTCTTAGTTTAGTCACTCCCCCTTGATGTCATTAGATTTAACCAATCAATCATCAGTCGAGCAAATAAGAAACATCACTACTTTTTTGTTATAGGGGTTTTTTCTTCATAATGGGAGAATTCTTATGTTGACACTAGGCAAGAACAGCGAGACCAGGCGGACCGGAGAGATACGGAGAAAAAACCTACGAGTCAGAAAAACACGAACACTTCACGAAGTAGGTGACTTGGTAGTTTAATAAGACACGTAGGGCGAGATACGGGAGGAAATGGGACGATCAATTTTCATCAGAAGGGTGTCAATTCCGATTGGGAGGCCGTCGGAGGCCGGAAAAGAAGAAATCGTCTTACAAAACCGCACCCGTCCCATATATCCTACATCGATATTTTGTCAACGTTGTTACCGTTTTTTTCTTTTCTGGACCGGTTCAAGGTGAGGAACGGCGTTCTCGACCCTGGAGTGAAATATCTCCGCGGAGATAACCGGGGGTGCCGAGGGGAAGATTTATTAGACCGTGGAATCCATTAAGGGCGGGGCCCCGGTCTTGTTTTCGACCCCGGGAGAACGGGGCTTGACCGATTTTAAAGCACCGTCACGAAGAGGTCCGTGAGGCAAAGGGCGAAGGGTGGCGAAAGGGCGAAGAGCAGAGAAAGGGCGAAGGGGGCAAATTCGGCACCTTTCGCTCATCCGGAACAGAAGAATGTACAAGGCCTAGCCCGCAGAAAAGCCTTCTTCCTATTATCAAGCTCATCACACTTCGAAGTCTTCCCGGTCCGACTCACTCTCTTTGTCATAAATTCTCAAACGGACAAAAATAAAATTTTAAAAAATCAAAGTTGTAGGAAAAGAACATATGATCGTTGCATATCCCAATCTTTTCTCTCAAATTTTTGACTTCTAAAATGGACCACATTATGCATTTATTGCTATTTAGCAATAATTTAACATTTAATAAATCAATAAAGAGGCAAACGAATAAAAATGAACGCATCGCTTACCTTGGCAGCCTTCTTCAAAACTGAGTATGTCCTGAAAGTCCTGACGAATAACCTGTTCAACATCTTGTCTCCTTTTTTATCCTTTTTCCACGTATATATTAAATACTTCAAAAAAAAAGATCGAAACGGTACAACGTGGAATACGAAAATTTAGTTAAGTGTCTGGTCCATGTTACACCCAGGTAACAGTAGGGTCAGGTTATTGATTTATTTTTTGAACAGTTGTTAGAATAGAAAATAAAAATTAAAAATCTGTAAAATAAATTGCTCGATTTTTTTTTAATATTCAGACCAATTTGTGTGCCAAGGAAATCCGAAATTCACCCTACTTTCAACAAATTTACTATTTGCTTACTGTTAAACCGATGGTCTAAGTTATAATCGGTGAAGTTTTTTAATCGGGCATGAGCGTGATTAAAAAATTTCTAAAGTATGTCTTATTGGCATGAAACCAAGCTAGGAATGTTTGTCTTGTCCAACGGCGTTATGTACCTTGTCAAGCTATTTGGTTGGCTGTCTAATCACTTAGATTTAGAAGATCAATTAGATTTAACTAACCTGAAAGGTAGAACTGTTCAAAAGTGGATATCGTCAAGCAGGTTTGACGGCCAACGACCATGTCACATTGCGCTTAACCGAACTGATTTGTTGGCATGGATAAGTCGATTGGTCTATTGCAAATGACGTCTCATTTTGCTTATAATTGTGTCCTTTCAAAGCCAAGCCTTCTTTGACGATATTAAAAATCACTATATTTTCCTAATAGACTAGCTTCAAGTATCTACTATAACATCATTATGCAATCGTACAGCTCTCATTCTTAGCCAATTCTTGGTGTGCGTAATTGGACAGTTGACAACCAGCTTTACTACATCATTCGACAGTTAAAAACAGGCTTGACGACTCGGCTGTTGCGTTTAAACAATAGACCAGCATAAGGAGCATAATATATAGCATATAGCATAAGGAGATCTGCTATAACGTCATTGAATAAGTAGAATGAACAGCATAAGTAAATTTTACACTACGTCATTGTGCTAGATATTGTTTTTTTTGAAAAATTTATGTTACGCAAACGTCACAGACAACAGTAGACCAATCTGATGGATATATCACCTATGGCGTCATTGAAAAGAAGACTAAGATACATTGATATGACGTCATTGGACAATATATCAACTAGCATTAGGTACTTTGATATGACGTCATTAGACAATAGGCCAACTACCGTAAAGAAATCTGCTTGGCGTTATTGAATAAGTAGACCTAACAGCATAAGGAAATATGATTCGACGTCACTATGCTATATTTTTTTGTAGAACAATTTATGTTATAAACGTCAAATACAACAGTCGACGAATCTGATGGATAAACCTGCTATGGCGTCATTGAACAGAAGGCCAACTAGCATAAAGTACATTGATATGACGTCATTGGACAATAGACCAATTAAAATAAAGAAACCTTCATTGATTAAGTAGGCCGAACAGCATAAGGAAATCTGATATGACGTCATTGAATAGTAGACCAACAAACATAGGATACTTTGATATGGCGTCATTGGACAGTAGATGTACGAGCATAAAGAAACCTTCATTGATTAAGTAGACCGAACAGCATAAGGAAATCTATATGACGTCATTGGACAATAGGCCAACTAGCGTAAAGAAATCTGCTTGGCGTCATTGAATAAGTAGACCTAACAACATAAGAAAATCTGATTCGACGTCACTATGCTATATATTTTTTTGTAGAATAATTTATGTTATAAACGTCAGGTACAACAGTCGACGAATCTGATGGATAAACCTGCTATGGCGTCATTGAACAGTAGACCAATTAGCATAAAGAAACCTTCATTGATTAAGTAGGCCAAACAGCATACGGAAATCTGATATGACGTCATTGAATAGTAGACCAACATAGGATACTTTGATATGACGTCATTGGACAAAAGACCAATTAGCATAAAGAAACCTTCATTGATTAAGAAGGCTGAACACCATAAGGAAATCTGATATGACGTCATTGAATAGTAGATCAACAAGCATAGGATACTTTGATATGACGTCATTGGACAATAGATCTGCGAGAATAAAGAAACCTTCATTGATTAAGTAGGCCGAACAGCATAAAGAAATCTATATGACGTCATTGGACAATAGACCAACTAGCATTGGGTACTTTGTATGACGTCATTGGACAATAGACCAATTAGCATAAAGAAACCTTCATTGATTAAGTAGGCCGAAAAGCATAAGGAAATCTGATATGACGTCATTGAATAGTAGACCAACCTGTTCAAGGATCTACTGTGACGTCATTTGACAGTAACTCAACCAGCTTGAAGGGTCTACTATCACGTCGTTGTTCAACTACTCTCTTAAACACGCCAAATTTGACGACAATTCTGCGCTCAAATATAGCGTATTTGTATTTATATCTACAGTAAATAAAAACTTGATTTTCCATTAGTGTTTAAGAATTACGTGTAAAATACCTTTTGTTCAAATTCGACGTCGTCTTCATGGCCTCGTGATTCCCGTGAGGCAGGGCCTTCATCGTTTATTTGTCCAATTCATAACCTTTTGCTTAACAATGGTGGGAAAAATCAAAATAAATATATAAATAGACAAAAATAATTAAGACCGAAAGTATGTATATTTTATTCAGGGTTTTGTTTATTTATCCATATGTATTATAGTCGGTCTTACTAACCAAAGTGATGATTCAAATTTTTCCTCTCAACCACACTTTACATAAAAAGTACAAACCAATTTAAATTATCATTTCGGTTCAATAGGACCAACTAAAATATAAATGGATTAATATAATACTTACTGAAGTAAGTGCACTCGCTAAGAGCACCCCGTGGCTACTTTATGAGTCGCCAAGAATCGAATCGTATTACACGAAAGTTGATTACATGAAAGAAAGAGGGAAATTTGAAAAAATAGTGATGATGCGTTCCCGGGGGATCGAAGTGACGAAAGCTCAAGTGGTTAGAGCACCGGGGTATCTAGCCGGAGGTCGTGAGTTCGGGTCCCGCTCGTGACACTAATTTTTCACAAATAGAATAAAAATTATAAACCTGTATTTTTTAAAAAAATATTTTTTTCGGGCGACAAATACATTTTTCAATCGAATATCGCCCAATCGCGTCCCGCTTTTCATATCTAAATTTGTTTTCGCTTGCGAACCACATCAGCAGAAAGTTCGTTGTGCCGTTTCCGTTTTAATTTTTCCACTCGAATGTATACAGCAGACGGGATTTTGTCCCTTTTTTCCTTGACACCCTTGGCTTGATCTTTGTTTTTTTTTTACAAGGATACCAGGAACTGGCGGAGTTCCCTCCTGTACAGCTTATTGTACTTTATCACTGGCTCCATTTTTTGAGGGCTCGCAACACAAGTGTGAATTTGAGCCCCCGGTATGCCGGTGTTCTTCCATCGAAGAAACTCATTTTTGAAGGGGGTTGGGACCAAATTCAGCGTCGCTGAGATCTGATCCCGCTCCTTCCATTGATGAGTGCCGTGTCAATTTCTTTTAATTGCGGCCACTTAGGCGTCAGAAAAAGTCCAGAGGCGACGGTGGGGATCGAACCCACGACCGCGGGATCTACTAGCCGAGATCTGACGCCTTAACCACTCGGCCCCCCTATCAAGCCGTTAAAAACTAATTAAGTTTATAATGAATAACATTATAACAAACCTATAGTGAAATTTCGATATGTGCCAGTTAAGTAATCTATCATTTAAAGACCCGTACATTAACGGTTTTCCGAAAAACTTCTCTCGGCTAAGAAGAAGATCGATGCCAGGGTCCGAATCCGGTTATTTTTATGGTGGGGTGGATTTTTTTCAGCTTGGGCGAATATGAATCAGGTTCGACGAGGAGAGAAGATAAAAGCCTCCCGTTGATCCCTTTCTAGAAAGGATTGGGCCAAAAATCGTGGCCTCCCGAAAATCCGCGACCGCTTCCATAAATGATGTTTTTCCCTACCTCCAAACATCGCCCAAAAGGACTTGGAAAAAGCCCGAAGAAAAGAAACAAAGCGTTCAGCTTTTTTGTCAGGATTACTTAAAGATATGAAATATTTGCAAGGGTAATTGAAAAAACTAAACCTCTAATGGCAAGTTCTAATGACATCGCCTTCTTTAAGAATTATCTTTTAGCCATTATTCAAACCAGAAGGCATGCATTATGCAAAGCCACCACACTCCCAAGGGTTTGTAGTCTGCCTCCTGGGCTCATTTTTGTAATTGTTCTGAACATTCCTAAAAGTGGTTGAAATTTGTATTGCGGCCATTTTTCAATAGAACCTGTAAACGTCGTTAAGCCGGTTTTCCAGTAGTCAAATGTCATCAAATAAGTCAAAACTATGAGAGCAGGACGATTGTCTAATGAAGACAGTGAGTATGGTTTAGCTGATCTATCAAGTCAATTGTTCAATAACGTAACTTCATATGATCATCGGACAACTGTCAAATGACGACCAACGAGAAAGACACGGCTGAAGAAAAAGTAGTATTGTCCAACTTGGAGGGTCAACTGGAATGTGGTGCTATAAAAGTCAAGGCGTGGCTAAGCTGGCTCGTCAACTGCCAAATGACGTCACATTACATTTAATTAACAACACGATTAATTAATGACACCAAACAAGACGATGCGACGCTAAACTGGTTCGACACCGTTCAATGACTTCACATTAGATTTAACTTACGTGGTTGTTCAACAGGAATGTGATGTCATACAAGACAATTCGAGATTAAGCTGGTCCTCAACTGTTCAATTACCTCATATTATATTTAACTTAGCTGGTGGTTGGTCAACTAGGATTGACGTCAAACAAAACAAGGCGTGGTTCGTCGCCTGTACAGTAACGTCCCATTAGATTAAATTAGCTGATAGGTCAACGGCCAAAGGATGTCAAACAAGGCAGAGCGTGGCTAAAAGCGTTATTTGGTAATCAAATTACGTCAGTGGCCATTGATCTTGTTCATTTCGACTTTAAATCTACAATTCCGTTCATCTCACCTTGCTAAAAAAAAACCAGCAATGAAAAATACCAACAGTATTGCTAGTTTATATCGTTTAATATTTTTCATCATTATATGCAGTTTTATGTAACATTATGTTATTTTATGTTATGTATGTTTAGAGTACAGGCATTGCTGGCATCCTGAGTTTACGTGCATCAACCAAGAATGCGTGCCTCCTGGAGTGCTCTGCGACGGTAATGCCGACTGCAAAGATGGCTCAGACGAATGGGACTGCACCCCAGGTGATCCGCACGTTAATTTTTGCCTCAAAACATCGTAACGCGTTGGTTTTTGTTTAGAAAACTTCGTCCAGTGTGGAGACGGCAGCCGGATCCACAAGCAATACTGGTGCGACGGATGGCCCAACTGCCCCGACAACCACGCCGACGAGCTCAACTGTCAGTTTTCCCGCTGTTATTTTAATAGTTCTTGAAATTCTGGGCTTTTTTCTAGGTAGCAAATGCGACAAACCGGACGAGTACAAGTGCTCGAACGGCAGGTGCATCAGCAGAGCGAACGTCTGCGATTCACAGTGCGATTGCGTCTCCGCAAACAGCACCGTCTGCGATGATGAAATCGGATGTGAGAAATTCTACACGACGACTAACGGTAAGCGTCAAAAGTTATGGTTTTTTTTCTCAGCTTGGTGTACCAAGACCGAAATTTGGCATTTTCATACTTAATGTGGTCGAAAAAAATATTGACTCCGTTTCAAGATTGATTCTAATTTTTATGAAAAGACGGTGGAGGAACGCGGGACTCAAAACCATGACTTTCGGCTCAATACGGCAGTGCTCAAACCACGAGATATTGTGTTCCAATTGGAAATTTGAATACTTTCGGTAAAGGGGAATTGAAATAATAGTCGGTTGGAAGGAGTGACCTTTTCCCTTGATGTGCATTCGCCCCACTCGACCGCCATCTCTCTCCGTTCACTTAAGGAACTACTCCTTTAAAGGAAATCATAAATACTGAAACACTTTATTTTAGGTAATTCGTGTTATGCAAATTATATTTGAGTCTTAGGGGGCCAAAATTTAACTATTTCACTGAGGATGTCTTGCAGTACATGACTGCCGCCACAAAAATTCGCATAGACAGTAGTCCAATAAATTTCCCAGGGTACCCCACTACGATTTGTACCTCGCCTTTGCTTTTCCCCATACACTTTCAATGGACTGCGTATGTGCACGGGTGGTTGGGTCGTCAAAATTGAAAGAGTCGTCCACTATCATACGGCGGAAACTAGGATCTTGGGATAATGTTTCATATGCCTTCCACTGATCGGAGATGATAACTGACCCAGCAGCGATCCGATCACGAATTATGGGGATGAGAGTGACGGCTGATCTGTTCGTAACGGCGACTAGAAAACTTTCTCTTGTTTCGCAGCAAATACACCAAAAACCCACTGCTATGTTAAGATTCTCCCGCTGTTGTTTTTCCGGCGCGAAAACAGCGATTCATCAATCGCGGCTGCCTGCGCAAAACAGAGTTCGCACAGACTTCGTGCACGTAGTTACACCAATCAACGTACTTAACTAGTTAACATGACCAGCGTGAGTGGCAAGGGTACATCCTCCGACGAGGTACCCGGGGCTAATACGCCCTGCTCTCCCTCCGACCACCCCGTCGGCCAAACCAGCCGAGAACCGGCCATACCACCGCAACAACCACGCTCCTAACTACAGATTCTCACTAATTTCTCAGTGACATTCGATCACACCTCGATGTTACATTCTTTTAGAAATTGATAGAGCAGATCGTGAATTTCCTTCCTACTCGTCGTAACCAGGGACTCCCAATAATACGGTCTTTCTACACCTTCCAACGCATGAATATCTTCGATAAGACCTTTTCTTCTTCCCTCGTACTCCGGGCACTCCAGTATTATGTGGTTCAGATCTTCCCTGCAATCACAAGTCGCGCAATTTGGGGATTATGTCAGCCTATTCTATTGAGATGCGCGCCCCATAAGCCATGATTTGTTCTTATAAGTATGATGGTAGAATAATAATGTCGGGTAGCCCTATAATCTTTAAACCAAGGTGCTTTTGGTACCACGGTGAACCTTGACCTGTATACAGATCCTCCTGTTGAACCGGTGTGGTATTCCTGCCAGGCAGACAGCCATTCCTTATTCAAACCTCGCTTGCTATCTCTCTTTTGAAAAATTTAACGCTTGCCGTTTCGTATGCCCAAGCGTATATGAAAGATGGTCGAATATGGCAGTCTTGAGCCAGTTAGATATGTTATTCTTAACCATTGCACCCACGTTTGTAGCACCTCCACTTGTCAATCCTGTAAAATGCAGCCTATCGCCTGCCCTCCTGTACATCGCACAGCTAGTGGAAGAAGGCCCTTTTCCTGAAGGAAAAGTTTTGACAGCGCCGTATAGCGCGAGAAAGTTCTTTTTTTATCAACACCGAACTCTTTGACAACTGGTGTACAACACAATACACCAATGCATACAATTACAGTACAATACATACGATACAATGGTATACAACAATACACCTTGACTCAAAACATAAGGACCCCAGAGGCCTGACCTTTGTCTCGATCTCTGTCACCGAGCGCGGTCGAGTGAGGCGGAGGTACATTATCGGAAAAGGTCCGAGAGGAGTTGGTGTCCCGGGAGATCCAGGTCACGATAGCTTAATTGGTTAGAGCACCGGCGTATTGAGCTCCCGCTCGTCACATTAATTTTTCTTCTCATCCGTCTTTGCATAAAAATTGGAAATAAACAGATAATTATTTAAATAATTTCAAGACTTGTATTATTTCCTGTTTGATCTAAGGAAAAAATTAATTTTGACATTTGGTATTTGATAACGTCAGTTAACCAAATACTTTCTTCAATATTAAAGTCATTTCTGATCGTTTTTATTAAGTCAATAAGACCGTGCTGACCATTTTTATACGAAGCTGAACCGACTGAAACAAATGAGACAATTTTAAAGAAAATCATTTCTCCTCCGTTCCTAAATCATAATTAGAAGGAAAATCGAAGGAAGGTGGTTTCGTGTTTATGAAAGATTGCAAGGCTGGCTTAATGAACCAACGTCTGAACCTGTATTTGCGTTCCGCCTGGGATCGATTCGGCCAAACCTAGTTAGAGATTCATGTTCGTGTTGTCGGTAGAAGGTACAACCACTTGTACTATGCCATGAGACTGATACAGTGGTTTTAATTTGAAAAAAAAAGTATAAAGGTTTGTTCTAAGGTTTTATATTGAGCCTTCCTGGATGGATGAAAGAGGAACCTTTTCTCCAGGATCTGAAAAGGTCGCGACTAAAGGAATCGAACTTCTCTGGCAATTCAAGCGTCGTCGGCGCTTCAATAACAATAATTTAATGAAGAAGCTCCTTCTCATTAGACCCTAAACTCCACAAAAGGCAAATTTGCGGTTCTGCGGCTATTTCCACAGGGCCCCCGTTAATTATTTGATCCATTTCGCCTTCCGGCGTGTAGAATTTTATTGCAAAGTTAGACAATTATATTTTCACTAGGCTTCATTTCTCAATATGGAAACGTTAGTTATTTCTTTTACCATCTGATGTAATTTCTTCCCGGTGACCCAATCACGGCCTAATAGGACTGTGACGCTTTCATCCCGATACCCCCAGGGGAACTAGATCAAAGGAAAAGTCCTTCTCATTAAGTCCGACCGGGCTTTTGACAAGACGTTCATTATTTGTCCGCATGCATGGCGAAACTTGGGCCCAGGAGCTTCTAGGTGGCGGATTGTGGGTCGATAAAGAAATTACAATGGGATGTGTCCTTTTCTTCCTTTTTTTACGTCTTTTTCCTTTTCGGCACCTAGTCGGCGATTTACTCCCTCCAGAGAACAATGTCCTTTTTTCCGTTGTTCTGTCCGTTTCGTCCATATTGCAATAACAATAACCCAAAGGCGTAGAACGTCCCTCCCACCACGTGTTACTGTAACAAAATAACCATAAATCCGATTTTTTGTAATTTCTTTTCAGGCGAAATTTTCTTTCCTTTTCTGTTTCCATTCGGCAAGGGACGATCTGTTGTATAGTGATGAAGGTTTACCATCTCATGTTTATTACAAATCTTTTCTGTCCGAACGTCCCCCCACCGACCTTTTGCCACCCGTGCTCTTCCGCATTCGACCTAATTTTATTTCCATCTTGTTTTTCTCGGATGGACCTATGGGAATATTTTACTCGCGGTAACTTTTAAGCAAAGGTTCTTTATACGAATCCTTTTTTTTCTATCGTTGATAAGGTTTTTTTAATTTGATTAAAATTAAACTTAATTGAATTGGACGTGTAATGACGTCAGAATAAACGTGGTTAAAGCTTGTCGGTAAATTACCTAATGACATCAAAGAAGTTTACTCTAACGTGTTTAGTCTGTCGTTATATGACGTAAGTAGGCGAGAAAGCTTGCCCAGTGACGTCAAAGAAGTCCCTCTATGATAGGTTAGCGTTTTCAATTATTTAGTTTAGTGGTCTGATTGACCAAATTACTTCTTTCAATTAATTATTCTTTGTATGTAAGGCCTTGGTTGAAATGAAAAAGCTAGTAGAAAAGATGAATAATGGAGTGAGTGCGGTGTTCAATCCTTTTATAAAAAAGTTCCTACTCACAGTAAGTTGTTTTCCAACGATCAAAGAAGTTCAAACAACCATTTTAGACCTAAAATTGTCCTTAATAAACAATCTAATAGAAATATACGTATATAGAAAACCCACAACTACAGACACTATGATACCAGCGGATTCTTCCCCACCCATGGTCCCAAAGACTGCAGGTTTCAGTTGGCTCATAGACCGTATGTTAACCTCCTAACTATAAAAAAGAATTAAAAACTATTAAAACTTTATCAAAAAACAATGGGTATCTAGAAATACTTATTGATAGGTTGCTAATGAAAATAATAACAAAATTAACTTTAAAAGAATCAAAAATAGGACTCAGCCACCCCACCATAAATGAATCATTAGGTTTCCGTTGTTTGCCATACATTGGTGAATTATCGGAAAAAGTTAGTAAAATGTTTAAACAAGAAGGTTTTAGAATAGCTTGTACAAGTACGAGTTCACTTGAAAACATCCTCTCAAAACCTAAAGACAAGGTAGACAACTTGACAAAAAAAGGCAAAGCGGGGTTTTCAAACTTAATTCTAATGATTGTGATGTTAAATATATAGTACAAAAAGGTAGAGAAATAAAAACGAGAGTAAAAGAACATTTGCCTAAATCGAACAAATTTTTGGAATTTAAGGACCATCTAAAAGAACATAAACATAATTTCAGTTCAAATTTAAATACAACAGTGTTACATAGTTATTCAGAAATCGTGAGATGCGGTCTGGTGTGATGTAGGTTTCGGAAAAACATTTTCTTTATCGTGCCAACGTTTCGATCTTTATTGAGATCATCTTCAGCGCCTGGGATTTACAAACGTTGTTTACATTTAACAAATACATTTAGGATGTGGAAAAGTGAATTTATACAATGCAAAATATATTTGGTATATTCAATCAAAGTATTTCTACTCACTCAAAGTGTTTGTATTCTGTGTAATTGTGCCATTCTTGCTTTCCGTGTTGAGAGTGCCAGTGAGATTTGGCTGTT